ACCCTCTGGGTGTGGCCCTCCAGCCAGTTGGCGACCCATTTGATTGTGTGGGTGTCGACACCACAGTCCCCCAGTTTTTTAATGAGAACAGGGTGAGAGACAGTGTCAAAGGCCTTCCAAAAGTCCTGAAAGACTATGTCCACTGCTACTCCTGCATCTAAGGATTTGGTGACCTGGTCATAGAAGGCCACCAGGTTGGACTGACAGGACCTGCCTCTAATGAACCTGTGTTGGTTGCCCCTAAGCATTTATCTCCCCCGCTGGCTCTTCATGGACATGTGCCAGGATAATTCTCTCAAAAAGCTTACCCAGGATCAAGGTAAGACTACCTGGCCTATAGTTTCCCGGGTCCTCCTTCCTCCCCTTTTTGAAGATGGGAACCACACTGGCCCTCTTCCAGTCCTCTGGCACCACACCAGAGCACCACGAGTGCTCGTAAAGCTGTGCCAGGGGTCCCGCAATGACCTCAGCTAATTCCCTCAGCACTCTGGGGTGGAGATCGTCCACCCTCCTGACTTTTACCCATACCTACTATTTCCCATTAGTAAATGAGGACAGAAACTCTGAAGCTTAATAAGACATTTCTCACCTAATAATTTTCTTTCCACTAAGAGCTACTTTTCCTCGCTGAATTTTCCCTTCACCCACAGCAGTCTGTTAAATGACCAGAAAGCAAACAGAATTTCATCTCTAAAATAAAAGCTAAAATATAATTGTTTTAAAGTGAATTAGTGTATTAAGTTGTAATCTTAATGCTACTAATCTGTTACTAGAGTGTTTCTGAGGCTCTGGAAGAAGTCTTCTGTTACAAGGTCAACACGTAGTCTTGAAGTCTAGCAGCAGCATTGAACTACCTCCATATTCTATAGGGAGAGAGCGTTAACCCACTAGGGACCAAAAACTATCAGGCACGAACTCTGCACTGTAAATTAGGTTGTTTCTAACTAGTGGAGGACAGAGGTTCTGGAACAGCCTTCGCTCATAGGAATAGTGGGGGCAAATGATCTAGATAGTTTTCAAATGAAACTTGCTGAATTTCAGTGGGATTATATGGCACAGTTGCTTACCACAGAAGAAAACTCAATTTGAGGCCGATTTACACGATAGTTTTGACAGCACAGCTTTACTGATTACACTTCCTAGCAAATATAATAATGCCAACAAAACTCTCGCTGCAAGCAACTTTGCTGACAGAAGAGAGCGGCTGTTGGTTTCGTCTGTCAGTAGTTCTCAAACCTCATTACACTCATACACCCAGCTCTTAGTTTGACTTGTTTTTTGTCTACAGGAAAATAATAGAGCAGTTGCTCAGAAACACCGTAACAGGTCAGAAGGTTTTTAACACTGGATTCTTATTGGGTTCATCTTGTAAATTATATTTACACTCCTACAAGTGCTCACATTGTGTGACACCCCACAGCTCCCTGGCTGAGAATCACTGGGTCATGTTGTCTGGGGAGCTGGTGTACCTGCAGTGGCAGAAAGGCCCTTTTGTCAGCATGTGTGGCATATTCATTATAGGGCTGTGCCAACTTATAGCTGTTGTGTAGCATGCACAAGCCCTTGGGGATGCAGGAGTTCCCATCTAGCCCTATGTTCATTTTCTGTATTATAAAATGGGAAGCATCAGTAATTATAATCCTGCTTCTGAAAAAGGGTAAAAATACAAATGACTTATGTTTTAAGAGGAAAAACTCTTCAATATTACCATAAATGGAAGGAAGGCCAAAAACATCTTTTAAAAAAAATCTTTTGTAGGTGCTGTGAGAAAACGATGGCTGTGATGAGAAATTCCCAAGAAGCTTTGCTAACTATTGTAGAGGTAAATGTTTTTCATGCTTCCTGATGAATAACTGAAAGAAAATTGTTCTTTCTCTCTCTATATATTGAAGTATGATTGAAATGATCAGCTGCGTTGAATCTTTGCTTCTTCCTATTGTACACTTCAGTTGAAGTGTCTAAAACTGTTCATCTCTAGCTTTTTTAAACTGTCCTCAGCTCATGTTTTCTGTGGCAACTCTTTAAGGCATTAAAGTTACAAACCTGTTCCTTCAATATCTAAGGCTTCTAGTCAGAGAAGTATGTAGCACTTCTAATGTTTGTAGTGCTGCATGTCTAGTAAGCAAACATGCAGTAGAACATCGCTTAGTTTACTGAGTTTTTTGCTCTGGTAGTTGCATGCTAGAGCAGAACCTAGTATTTGAGGTACATCATAAAGCACCTGAACAGGAAAAGAAGTGAAACAACAGAATTGATTAATAATTTCAGTAGGAAAAAACCATGAATTTAATAGGCACTCTAGAATATGTACTGAAAAGGAGAAACAGGTTAATCAGTGTAAAAAAGGATCGACCTCTTTATTGAAGAGGGAGGACAAAGGCAGTTGGATCAGAACTGAAGCTCTTAGAGTATCAGGGGATGGGGCAGCAACACGCTTTTGCTTTGTGTTCATCTCTGCTTATTTGCTGTGTTCTGTCACTACTGGATTAAGTCACATGCAAGGGTTCTACTCACTTGTGGACTTCAGCTGTTTAATTTCTCTCTTCCTGTTAAGCCATTAAACTATCAATAATTAGGATTTTAATGCTTGTTTTCTTCTTGACTAGGTATTGCTGTATGACCCCCTCTTTGACTGGACTATGAATCCTCTGAAAGCACTGTACTTGCAACAGAGACCAGAGGATAAGGCTGACATCAGCGCCACTCTCAACGTTGATCATCAGCAGTGTAACAGAAAAGCCAAGTAAGGGGGTTAATTCTTGCCTAGATTTATTCATAGATTCATAGGTGTTAGGCTTGGAAGGGACCTCAGTAGGTCATCAAGTCCGACTCCCTGCCCTGGGCAGGAAAGAACGCTGGGGTTAGATGACCCCAGCAAGGTGCATGTCCAGTTTCCTCTTGAAGACTGCCAAGGCAGGGGAGAGCACCACCTCCCTTGGAAGCCCATTCCAGATTCTGGCAATCCTTAGTGTGAAGAAGTTCTTTCTAAAGTCCACCCTAAATCTGCTCTCTATCAATTTGTGGCCATTGTTCCTAGTTACTCCAGGGGGTGCCCCAGTAAACAGAGCATTTCCTGTTCCCTGCTGCCCTCCCCTGATGAGTTTACAGGCAGCCACAAGATCATCTCTCAGCCTTCTCTTGTGAAGGCTGAAGAGATCTAGGTCCATCGATCTCTCCTCGTAGGGCCTTGCCTGCAGGCCTCTAACCATACGAGTGGCCTCCTCTGAACCCTCTCAAGATTCTCTGTATCCCTCTTGAAGTGTGGCGCCCAAAACTGGACACAGTACTGCAACTGTGGTCTGACCAGTGCCGCATAGGGGGGAAGCATCACCTCCCTGGACCTGTTCATCATGCATCTTCTAATGGATGATAAAGTGCGGTTAGCCTTGATCACTTTGTCACATTGACAACCCATGCTCATCTTGGAGTCAACTATGACTCCAAGATCCCTTTCTGCTGCTGTGCTGCTGAGAAGGTCATCCCCCAGCCTGTAAGTGTGTTGGTGGTTCTTTTTGCCCAGGTGTAGCACTTTGCATTTGTCTTTGTTGAACTGTATCCTATTTTGTTCTGCCCATTTTTCCAACCTGTCCAGATCCACCTGGATCCGTTCCCTACCCTCTGGTGTGTTAACTTTGCCCCACAATTTGGTATCATCTGTGAACTTGGACAGGGTGCTCTCGATGCCCTTGTCCAAGTCACTGATGAAGACATTGAATAGCACCAGTCCAAGGACCGAGCCTTGTGGGGCTCCACTGCTAACATCTTTCCAAGTTGATATCAGCCCATCCACCACCACTCTCTGGGTGTGACCCCTAAGCCAATTTGCCACCCACCTGACCATATAATCATCTACATCACAGCTTGTCTTCTTTCCTAAAGTTTTGCATCCTCTTCTGGCTGCACGCTCAGTTTGATTCTTTTTCATTTTTATTTTTCTGGCAGTGATCAGAGTTTTAACAAAGTGGCAGAACGTGTCTTGATGAGGCTTCAGGAGAAACTGAAAGGTGTAGAAGAAGGGATAGTGCTCAGTGTGGGAGGACAGGTGAACCTTCTTATACAGCAAGCCATGGACCCCAAAAACCTCAGCCGACTCTTTCCAGGGTGGAAACCTTGGGTTTGATCTGGAAGTATCCACTAAGTTGTAGAGCAAATAAGCCTGTTCGATTCTTGGCGAAAGAATATTGGTCAGCATTTTATATTTATATTCCAGAAATTTCCAGATAATCTCAGAAGTGATTGTGTAGGTTTATAAACAGTTTTGAAATCAATGTTTAATTTCTTTAATGAATATCCAATTATTCTCCACAACTTTCATCAGGATAGTGTTCTGGTATTCCTGTGCCGTACAATGGAAATTTTCAAGGAATGGTTATTCCTCTCAAACTAGGAATTAAGTGGCTTCTACATGTAAATCCTTTTATAAAACCTTGAATTCTTATTATTAGTGTTTGACATTTCCTAAAACTTGACTCAAATCTCAGATTACTGGTTAAGTATCTCTACACCCTTGTTTTGTATAGTGTTTTTTTATAATAATAATAAGACTACGTAATCTGTATTGAGTGGAATCATCTGTAAACTAGAAAACATGGAATAACCAAGTGCATTTATAAAAGAAGCAGCACTGTATCTTCAAGTCTGTTGTGCAATGGTACTTGACAAAATTCAAAACAGACCTAAAAAGAGCTTCATATGCAAGTTTATTTTTCAGACTACTAATGCTGCAGCTACCAATGAGAGAACATCATCACTGCACAATGCCTTCTTGATATAAATCATCTTTGAGTCAAGTATATTTATAGTGCTGCATTTTTGTGCCTTTTTAGTTTAAATTGTATTGGCATTTTCTTTGCATAAGCAAGGATTTTAACAGCATTAGCAACCAAGTTAGTCTTATCTTAAAACTCTTCTGCAAAAATTTACTATGGGCTGAAACCTGACACACAAGTTCTGACCCAAAAATATGCAGCCTTTCCATATCGGAGAGAAATACAAAATTTTAAAATTATAATGTGAATACAGAACTTGTTTACTTAATTTGTACAGTTTTATTTTATATATTGAATTGCATGTCCCTTTGTTTTTTTAAGCAATCAGATAGTTAATGAACTTGCACAAAGCAGGAATCTCTTCAGACAGTTTTGTGTTTGTTATACTTTTTTAAATCCTTCCTGAAATATTTAATGTTTAAAAAAATACAAATAAAATATATTAAATTTGACATAGTCTCTCAAAATGCTGAGGTTGGACTTCAGCATTTCGCTCATGTTAGTTTGTCTTGCTTTTATCATTTCAGTTTTTAAGTTTCTTACATTTTTGTCAATACTTGCACAAATTTAATTCCTTCATGCTGATAGAAATGGAAAACGAAGGTAGAATGAAATTATCTTCCTATAAGAAGATGTTAATTTGTAGACTGAAAATGAAATGGGTCAAACAGAGCATGAATGTTAATGGTTGCATAGGAAAGGAAAGGGTCATAGCTTCCAGCCATGGGTAATAAGTAGGAAAACTCTGAACAGAAAAGTGCTGACCAAGATGTAAAACAGTTAATGCCTAAAGTTAGGCTCCTCAATAAGTGTTCTGATTTTCAAATATGACTTCTATTGGAGTTGGTAAGTGCTCAGCACTTCTGACCCAAGTAATTTGTAGGGAGTGTTTAGGTCCTAATTTAAAAAAGAAAATCTTGGCCATTGGCTGTATTACTTGAACGTTATTAACATTCTTAAAAAAGAAATCACTGCATGGGACTTTTAAATCAATGCAGGGTCTAGGTCTAATGTGTATGGAAGTGTTAGCCTAGCAATTATTAGTATGTATTATCCCCATTGCACCTGTTGCATAGAATTATTCTTTAAAGGGACAGTTTCAATTTTTTTTACCTGAAATTTAGATATTGTATTGAAAAACAAAAGAAAGCAAATAAAAAAAATTAAAATTTAACCCAAATAAAAAATGTTCAGCTTCAGAGAAAATATATTTAATTATTCCACTCCCGTGTTGTGAACTCAGTATTTTACTGAATGAAGAAAAGAAAATGCAAGTAACAGTCTATTTTACTGTCTCAGCTAAACAAAATAGAAATAAATATATAAGTAGTTTGAACTGAATATAGTTAGTATATGCAAGTATGACTGTCATATTGACAGTTTTCCTTTTAAGAAGGAATACCTAATTTTGGCATGTTCATACATAATACATAGTGTTTTTCCAGAGAACTCAGCTGTTAAACTTAACCTTACAATGAAGTTACCTGTCTCAAGCCATAATAATACTCTTCTTATGACCAGGGATCATCAGGCATTGAGCTTTCCCTTTGCACATTCTAATAGTTTTTCCTTTTTAAAGGTCAGAATTAGAGACTGATATTGTAGTTAATTTTCTAGCATATGCAGGATAAAAAAGTATGACTTTTATCCTGCATATACTAAAAAATTAACTACAATATCAGTGACAGCAGATTTTGCAGCGCTTCAGCTGCAGGGGTGGTGGTGCGGGTTGAAAATAGGGATCCTCTTCATAGTGCAACAAGATGCTGTGGCACTTGTAGTGCTACAAATGCAAATCTGTTCACAGCCTTAGTTTCAAGGTTACTGGACCTGAATTTGAGCTGGGAGAAGGTATTTTGTTCTGAATGTTTCAATCAAATTCAGGTCCAGTAACCTTGAAACTAAGGCTGTGAACAGATTTGCATTTGTAGCACTTGCACCATTTTTGTAGCACCATAGGCAGGGTGCACATCTGTATGCCTGCTTTTTGTAGTTCAACAAGTTTGTATATGGAACTGCAAATATAACATCTGTCTATGACCTAAGATAGCTTGATACCAGAGAGCCATATACAAATTGCCTATATTAGCATGCCAAAAATATGAGAATACAGATAAGTCCGTATCTTTTACATTGTAATATTTTCCTGGCATGCACATTGTTATATGGTTGTAAAAAATGAATTTAACATGGACTGTTTCTAAGGAAAATTTTAGGCCCAGGGAGTCTATGACACTGTGAAGTGACGGGATGGTAAGACTCTGATTTGTATTTTTTTACAATCCAATGTAACTTAGTTACGTATGGGGAAATGTGTTTGTCTTCAGTTTCTGTTGGATAAGTGTCTAGCCTCCAAAACTAGCCCCCTTGGGGATAGATCATAGATTTGAATGAGTTGAGACTGAGCCACTATTAGAGAAGACTGCTGCAGAACAAGGATTGATCTCAGCAGGCAGAAATGAGGAACTGATAACTTTAACCACCATTGTTGTCAGTCTGGAACATTTCATGATCTCCCAAGACCAACATAAACATCAGAATTAAATCCCCAGTGAAAGTTAGTTATGTGATTTTGTTATATAATCCTATGAAACTCTGTGTATCCAGAGTATGTACAGTATATTTTATTGAAACCCCACCCTTATTTGTTATAAACCACTTTTTAACATCCCAGAAAGTTATGACTTTAGTAAATACTGTTTGTAGGTGGTGATGAAGTCTATGCTATTCTGGGCTACTGATAATATTCTACACAAATATAAATGTGCTACACCTTCAAGAGCTATATTACATCATGTGCAAAAGTGTCAATAAAGATATCTTTCTTAATAACAGGTGCTAGCAATAGCTCACTGGAATTTAATTGTGCCACTCTGGTAGATGAAAGTATGCATACTATTATTATTGCTTTCACGATTCAAAACTGAAACACAGTATAAGCCAGCAGTGTCAGATTTACTGGCCCCAGACCAGATCTGGATATTAGGGCTTCTTCTGGGGTGGCAGTGGCAGCAGCCACAGGTCAGGCAGCTGCTTCCTGTGATAGAGGCACGTAAGCAACCACAGGCAAGGCAGCCTCAAGGTGGCTAAAGTAGCCAAAGTCCATGTCCACCAGGCTCCTTGATTTCACAGCAGGGCACACCCACCGCTGGCTGCACACACCACCAGCCACACCCCCAGTTTAGCAAAATCTGAGCAATATGTCTCTAAATGAAAAGACAGATCCCAAATACAAAAATATATACCTACACAGAAAATTACAGCCTTAAATATCAAAATGATGTTTTTAAGTTTTTTGCTTCCAGAACAGTAACCTTCAATGTACTGTGTTTACCTAAATCCAAAAGCTCCGCTTCTTATTAGGGGTGCACAGATAGAGATTTTTGGGCCGATACCAATAGCCAATTTTTAAGGAAGCATATCAGCTGATACCAACCCAGCAACTTGAACAGCTGCTTGTAGCTGGTAAGTCTGATGTGGTGGAAGGGGAGGGAAGGGGTTTGGGGGCAGGGCAGATCAAGGCCCCTATGGTGAGGGAGGAGTGGGACTGAGGCAAACACTGCCCAGCCAGGGTAGGGTGGGCGCAGGACAGAACCACAGCTTGTCCAGTGGCTCCCGTCGCTGCTCCCTCCACTCGTCCAGGAGGGCATGGGGAATGTGTGCCCCCAGATTTGCATGGGGTGGGCTGGGGCCGGGGCTCCACCAAGCTCCTCCCAGCGGAGCAGGGCTGCACTCCAGTGGGCAGTGGCAGCACTGGGAGGGGGCTACTCTGTCCCTGCCCATCCATACATACCCCCAGTTAAAAGCCCCTATTCTAAAAGTAGGATTAAACTTAGATGGTGATCATTCACTGTCTTTTATTTTTTATCTGAGTTTAAGTGATAAAACCCAGCACACTGGACCTACAGTACTTAAAAAATTCTGTTGTGTGAGAGGTGGGGAAATTAATTATATTTTCCTCTGGGATTCACACAACTTTGGGAAAACAGCTCATCTGTACTACTGTACAGCATACCATGGTAGTATTGCTTTATTTTTTCACTTTATACTGTACTGTTGTTAAAAATAAAGAATAAATATAGTCTGATTTTCTATCAGTGAAAGATTTTTCTGCCTCGAGTATGGACTAAATTATGCCCCCCCATCCCCACCCCCCTCACAGTATGAATCACAATTTACCAATTGACTTGCTCTGGAGTTGCTCCCTATCTAGTCATTCTTTTTAGTATCTAGTCAAGACTAATCAGTTCAATGTCTTAATGCTATATCATAGTCTAAATAGGTGATTCTTGAACCTTTTAGACTTGAGGCACCCCTTGGAAAATACCAGCCCTTTATTTTCAATTGCTTTTTGAGTACAGAAGAATACTACACCAATTCTGTTGTGAAGACCTCGGAGAGACCATAGTCCAATTTGAAACCTCTGGGCTTCTACTGTGAATTGTATGGAAATGTTTCCACACTTAACAGTGTTTACATTGCTTGGAACACAGTGGCATCCTTGAAAGGATCTCAAGGCACCTGAGGGGTACCACGTCAGCCTGGTTAAAACTCATTGGTCTAGACAGACTATGCATAGCAAGACTGACTTGCTTAACCCAAAGACCCCATCAAGAGAAGTCAGTTTCTCCTGACTTTACAGAAGCCTTCCCTGCATACAACCAGTTCTACTGGTTGAATTGGAACAATTTAGTTCAGCGTATGTACACCACCATAGGACACACACCAGGTATAACTACCTTACATCAATTTAGCTTTGTCAGGCAAGGCCCAATAAAGTATTAACAAGTGGTGAGGAGACTGCAGTAGGGACCATGTGACTACAGTCCTATCTATGGTAGCTGAGAATAAGACAAACCAACAGGGCAAACCTGATGTGTTTTGTCACAATACAAATTAACCTGCTTTATATAATGCATGAAACTGAATTCTAGACTCCCAACACTAACTGCTACTCTTGCCCTTTCTTGTGTCCTGCTACTGCTGCTTCCCTTCCAAGTCCTCAAGGGAGCTGGTGCTGTTTTTACACTCAGTTCTCCAAAATCCCACATCCACCGAAGACATGGCATCTGTCTCCTGAAATCTC